TGATCGCCAAGGCCCATGCCGTCATAGACTAGGCTGACCTCTCCGTAATCACCACGCTGAGCATAAACACGATACCCGTCAGCTCCTGTGACCTGATGAGGGGACATATCAAAAGCGCAGCATGACGAGCTACCTCATCCCATTGCAAAGTTACAGCAGTCCTCAACAACGGCGGATAGTCTCTCGTGGGGGCGGCAGGGGTAGGTGGAGGCGTGGCTATAGGGCATCACTGTAACCAACTTGGGAAATGTCTAGAACTCACTGCATAGGGCCAACAGAGGCTCTGATGCATAAGAATAGTCCAAGTCGTCGATGCCATTCATCGCCACAACTCTGTAGCTGTAGTACTTACCATAGACCAAACCTCTTATCGAGCCTCTATCGGTGAAGTTCGCCTCTCGCATCGATACCTACCACAATCTGCCCTATAATCCTAGTCTGAACAAGAACTCGTACGGAGCCAATGAGCTGCCAGTTAGAGGGGTCCGACTCGGATGCTCTAAGTAGCTTATAACCGATCAAAGGAGAACCACCATCATCCAGTGGTGGATCCCATTCGAAGGCTATCCATGCTGGGCTGGTCAGGCAATCAGCACCACGAAGCCTAATACGAGTTATGCATTTCCGGGACATGCACATGTGGGACCACCGTGGGATGCTAGTTGGACCCGGGATACGCCCACAAGGCCGGTTGAGGTTCTCGCTCACTGGCCCGTCACCAGCCACAGAGGTTGCATATACCTAGTACAGCGAGGGAAGGGTACCAATCTCGAACGTGGCATCACCCTGAAGTCATAGTAGGTGCCGATGGTGCACGGAGTGAGCGTATAAGAAAGATTCGTCATGTCTGAGGGGAAATCGATATCGGGAAACCTACTGCGCATTTTGGTCATACCCGAGAGCCTCGTTTGGCCGTCTACCAAAACCGTGTAAGTAACAGGTGTCAGTGAACTGTTCACGGCATCCCACTTCACAGTGATGCGGTTCTCTGAATTACCCCCAGCTACGACTATTGGCTGACTCGGAAGGTCACTTAGCCGCCTTGAGACCGTGTCATCACGGATGGCCAATTCTTCACCATCTGGCTCATCACTAGTGGCAACTACCGTTTTGCCCACTCGTGGGGCTGGTAGCGATAGCAGTAGGGGAGGGGACTTGATCAGTGATGATGACGACAGTGAAGTCGCCTTTTGGTTGCGACCAACGGTCTTGGTCTTATTGTGAGTAGACCTATCACTCTTGGACCGGAGGGTTCTCGTAGGCGCCTGGACTTTATTCACATCAAGACGTCTCCGTGCTATTATCGAAGTTGCGTTCGTGACATTCAATTGGCGGGGGAAATCCGCAAGAAGATAAGGAGAGTGAAAAAGATAGTCGGAGGGAAGTGGCTGCAGCGGCGGCGCACTGCCATTGGCCCACAGCAGAGTCGCCGAATCGCCTCCTTTCAAGCCGTATAAATGTACCTTGTTGCATATTAGAATCACCGTTATCAGGAATAGAACCGAGGACCTCACCTGTATTGGGTACAGGATTCCCCCCTTCAGTGAGACGGTTGCATTAATAGCATCAATGGTGTAATTGAAGTAAATACGAGTGACAAGAACTCGTGAAGGAGCATCCACACCAAGTGTGTAGTCGCCATCTTCAGCAGGCATCACATAGCCATCCCAGATGATCGAAGCGAACCCCCATTCTGACGGCACTTCAAAGCTATGAGCAGCAGACCCTGGCAATGGGTATCTCCACTAGAACAAGGGGAACTCGTTGGGATAACACTGCTGAGCTCACCAGAGTCGGACGGTGCAGATCTTCTGGCCATGGTGTATCCCATACTCGAAGATAGAGACCTCCACGCTGAAGCACGTAGCACCAAAGTTGATATACTCCATTTGACGGAAACGCTTCCGGGCTCAAAGGTAGGTCAAAGCGGGCGATGGTCGAATCGAGTTGAATCTGAGGACGTTGATATTTCCCCTTGATACGAAGGTACGCTCACTGGCCCGATTCGTTTCCTGAAGAATTGTGAACGAGTGTCACCCACGCCACTTTCCCCTAGTCTCGCGGGATAATCAGCAGTACACATCATAGCCACAGTAAGATCGCCCACCAGCCTATTGCCATGGATGTCCTCATACCACAGGCCGAGTTCCTGGGGTGGATCCTCATCCTTGCGGTATGCATCTGGCCACACGTGCCCTGTGCTCGGACTGTACACACTGAATGATGCATTCAGAGCAGCCCCCTCGGGTGCAATAGGATGGGGCCTCACTGTAACTGTGAAGTACTCAGCCGTCCCCACCATAACCAAGTCACTGTTGACTCGGCATTGGATGCGAAGTACCCCACTTATAATCGGTGTATAGCGACAGGCCCAGAGTTGGGTTGTGTTCGTGAACACACATTCGATCGGAACAACGTGAGAGCTCCCATTACTGGATACCAAACACTCTACGGAGTCCCCCTCGGCCCAGTCAAGACGTGGATTCTGTAGTCTGTCGTATAGTGTGAGGTGAAAGGAGGCTTCCCTCGCGACAGTTGCTTCAACAGACCCGTCTCCAGACACGACACTCAGTGGCCCGTAGCCACTCGAGGGTCCGACCACCACCTCCATTGGCGAGCCACTGATGTCGTCTCCGTCCAAGGTGACTACCAGAATGCTCGAGAATGATGTGACCTTCGCTGAACTCAGGAAATCTGAGTCATCAGGCTGCAATGCACGCATCTTTGAGCTGCTCAGGTAAGGTCGCACTGTTGCTCTATAAGCTCCCGATACACTTGGATGGACTGTCCAGCTGATCGTAGCGTCTGGGTCGCCACTTATATAAGCATCGAGACGATCAGTTAGATTTTCCCCTCAAGAGGTGGTGAGAGCATACCCCCACGCATCTCGTGGGATGAGAGTGAA